GCCCTTGGGCATCAAAACTTCAGGCTCTCCAGTTGTTAGATTCTAGGGCTTATACCAGTAGTTCCCAGGATTCTCAGGTTTACATCATCAACCACCTTTATTCTGAAGTTTTTGGATTTATACTGAGCTATGCTACTGGCATACCAGGATCTATTTATATTCTATTGGTTCTGTCTCTCAGAAGAACCCAACTAATGCAGATTTTGGTATCAGGAGTTGTTCTAGAGGAAGATAATTTTAAAGATGAGTTTTCTTAATTCGTTTTTGTGTTTCTAAATTAGATCTCTAACATGATTATACCTAAAATTGCTAGGACTCTACTTCTAGTAGTACTGAGAGCACTAATGGGTCCTCTCTATTTTGTTAGCCTATGATGTGGACTATTTATATAGCTATGCAAAAAAACCCACTACACTTGATACTCTTAATCTACTGCTTAAAAGAGCCAAGGAACCTGGAGACTTTATATATGTCACTTTCAAACGTGTGAAAAATGAAGGAATATTATGACTGTGGTTGGTTACTGAATGAAGTGGCCACGGTGGGAGGAATGGAAATTGTGTATGGATGGGTTCAGTAACATGGACTTTTACTCACCAATGCCAATCTGGCTATGCACCTGCCAAACACCCAATCTGCCAGCAGCAGAGACAACACTGAGCTCCCAATATGGCTTGATTTCCTGGGGTGAGCAGCCAACTACCTGGTGGCAGGTTGATTACACTGCTTCCATCATGGAAGGTGTAGCATTTGTTTATACTGGAAGAGACACTTGCTCAGGATATGGACGTGACTTTACTGCATGCAGTGATTCTACCAAAACTGCATGCAGTTATGGGGACTTATGGAATGCCTTATCCACTGTCAGCGTATTCCATACAGCATTGTTTCTGACCAAGAAACTCACTTCACAGCCAAAGAAGAGCAGCAACAAGCTCATGTTCACAAAATTCACTGATTTTGCCATGTTCATCGTCCTGAAGCCATGGGTTTGATGGAATGGAGGAATGGCCTTTTGGAATTACAGTACCAGTTAGGTTATAATATTTTGCAGAACTGTGGCAAGGTTCTCCAGAAGGCTGTAGATACTCTGAATCAGTACCCAATATGTGATACTCTTTCTTCCATAGCAAGGATTCATGAGTCCAGAAATCAAGGAGTGGAATTGGGAGTGGCACCACTCACCATTACCCCAGTAATCCACTAGCAAAAATGTTTGCTTTCCTGTTCTTGTAACTTTATGCCTTTCAGGTCTAGAGACCTTGTTCCAGAGGAAGACACAACAAACTGAAAGTTAAGATTGTCACCCAGCCACTCTGGGCTTCTTGTGCCTATGAATCAACAGGCTAAGAAGGGAGTTACAATGTGGCTGGAGTGACTGGCCCCTACTACAACAGGGAAGCTGTTCCACAATAGAGGTAAGGAAGAGTATATCTGGAATATAGGAGATCCTTTAGGGTGTCTCTTAGTATTACCATGCCCTGTGAGTAAGGTCAATGGGAAATTACAACAACCCCATTCAGGCCAAGACTATAAATAGCACAGACTCCTCAGGAGAGAAGGTTTGGGTCACTCCACCAGGTAAAGAGCTACAAACATCTGAGGTGCTTTCTGAAGGCAAAGAAAATGCAGAATGAGTAGTAGAAGGAAGGCAGTTATAAATGCCAGCTATGACTACATGACCAGTTACAGAAAAATAACTATATTTGTCATGAATATTTGCTATTTTGTGTATTGCATATATACATACATATATTAAACAAATATATTTGTTTCTGTTTTATTCCTTTATTATATAGCATAAAATTTATTGACTTGACATCAGTATTTAAATATTAATTCTACTTCATAGTATTTAAGTTATGGGATATCAGAAGATAAGTAAACACAAGGACTTTACTTCTTTTTCTGGAGAAGGAATTAGTACATCTTGGGTCATGCACAGGATAGTTGTATCATGTTAGGTTGAGCTATTACTTTTTATTGTCTTTATTTAGAGATTAAGTATGGTTTAAGGTGAGCTGTATAGGTACCCTAACCCTCAATGTGAGTGGGCACCATTCAATTGGCTGGGGATCCAGATAGAACAAAAAGGCAGAGGAAAGGCGAATTTTTTTCTTTCTCTCTTTCCTGGAATTGTGATACACTTCTTCAGCCCTTGGACATCAGAACTCCAAGTTCTCCAGCATTTGGACTCCATATACTGACGACCACCCAGGTAAATGCTGTAAAACTTTTCAGTCTTCATAATCACGTAAGCACAATTCTCTATATAAATCTCCTTTCATCTATATCTATCTATTTATCTATTTATCTATCTCTATGGATATGGAGGATATATATATATATATTCTGATGGTTCAATCCCTCTGGAGAATCCTAATACATAAGGGAAGGAACACATCACTTTGGTAATAAGAACAGCGCTTTGCCTTTGCAGATTCCTGACAAAATTTGTTAAGAGAGGTTCTCTTACTCTAGAGAGCCCCAACAGGAAAACTTGAAGAGAAATCTCCTTTGGAAGTGATTTAGAGCAGTTAAGTGGAAATAGTCTTCCTTTATCTGCTGTGATCATATTCCAAGAAAAAAGGATGTGTCCTTCCAGAAACAGGTACAAAGATCCTGCCCTTCCAGTAAAAAAAAAAAAAAAGTAACTAGTTAAGTATAAAAGTGGATTGAGTATGGGACAACAATGGCAGCAACAAGGTTCCTCTGGAGGGTGAGAGGACGCCTTGTGGGGACCACAGAAGACAGACCTGCAAAGAGAGAAGACTCTGTCTCCGGCAACACAGTCTCTTGGTACATAAGCAACCCAGCCTAAGGGACCTACGACAGGAGGCCACAACGGCACAGCTGCACATCACGTGAATCCAGAAAGGGGACAATCTTCCTCCTCAAAGATTGTAAGTTGAACAACCCTTCCTTCGGTGCATTAGAAGATTGTGATTAGCAAGCTGGGGCTGTTGATGTTTCTGCCTTGTCCATCTCCACTCCCTGAACTCTTATTGTGTTGGTTTCAACCACTATTTTCCACAACAACTATATATCTTGGAATTACAGAAAAAGCTTTTTAAAAGTAAGAAAATTTTTCTTTTTTTTAATGAACAGTGGAAACCTGGAAAAATCTAAATGGAAATTTTTGTAGCTAGTAAAACGTATTAATTTATTTGACAGATATTTCCTGAGAGCCTTCATTTACAATTGCCCCTCAGCATCCTTGGGGGATAGGTTCCAGGACTACTTTAAGATACCAAAAGGCTCAGATCATCAAGAGCCTCATATAAAATGGCATAGTATTTGCATATATTTGCATAGAATGCACATATTCTCCCACATGCTTTAAATCATCCCTAGATTACTTCTAATACCTAATACAATGTATGCAAATGCTATGTAAGTAGTAGTCCTGTATTTTAAATTTTACATTATTTTTTATTTGGGGTGATATTTTTGATCCATGGTTTTCTGAATATACTCATGTGGAACCCAGAAACATAGAGGATCAACTACATATGGAAATACATCTGCAAAATTGTTAGATGGAAAAGTAGATTACATGCAATCAAAAGTATGTTTAAATTACATATACACACGTGTGTATGCGTATATAGACAGTGAAAGAGAAAGGTCAATTCCAAAACTATATATACTGAATAATCTCTAGGTTGATTTAAAAAACAGCAATTTTTGTTTTTATTTTAATTTGTTATATTTTTTTAAATAGCAAGGAAGTATTAATTGTGGAATAGAAAAAATAATAAAAAAGATTTTTGTCCATTGTAATAGTTCATAAGCTAGGATAACTACTTGAATAGGTGATGTTTTAGATATTAAATGCATATAAAATATAAGACATTGTGACTTTTGTTTTACTCTAAGAATAAATTTTTTGATGGACTCCATTTGGAAATAAACATGGAATCTCTATATTACAAAAGAAAAAGAAAGATTACTTGAGGGAAATGCACATATAACTAACTGCTATGAATGTGGGGATACTGGCAATACATTTCTTACTGGAGTTAACAAGTGAGAAATAGGTATAGAAGAAAAATGGACATTAAAATGCAGCATTGGTTTTATTGCCAAAGTACAAGTTCTTCCTAATCAAGCTGAATTTAACCCCACAACCAGAATAGGATTAGGATTCCTAGTCTTCTCCCTCAAGTCTAGACTCTGGAAACTGCCTAGGAGAATAAATTCTTCAGAGAGTTCATCTTTAGCTAGATGATAGAGGAAGGGTTATTGTCAAAGAGTGGGAACTAGGATCAAATAGTGGGGTGAAGCCAGATTTACTAAGAGCCTTGAAAGCCAGATAGAGATGTTTAGCTTTGATGCAACAGAGATGGATACTCTCTTTCTAATGGCTTCTCCCCACAGCCATCAAAACTAAGAGCACTAAAATATTTCATGTCCTTATGCTAAAAGGGAAGACAAAAGAAATTGTTGTTCAGTGGTTCTGTTCTTTTCCATTTCTGGACTGGTAAATAGCAGTGATAAAATATTGTTTATTTGACTTAATTAGGTCAAAATAGAGGAATGTCTTACAGAGGACAGCTCCTATTTTGACTTTGAATTAAGACCCAACACTACATTTCTATGCACATTTCTGGTCAGTCCTAAGCACTTCTATAGTTGTTAGTTAGCATGCTATATTGAAGTTACCTTCATTATATAAAAAACTGTATTTTTATATCAAAGTTAATAGAATGTGAAAAAATCTGAGATATTTCTACAATAAAAGATTTTGAATTAGCTAAAAATTCATGCAATTTTTATTTTGATTACATGAGACAAATCTTTTAAGATTCTCATAAAATGACCTTAATATATATAGTATAATATATATTCCAAAATAAGACATGATAATGGAAGCAAGCAAACTTCTATCAAAGGTAATAATGATAATGCTAAAATGAAAGGGGACACTGACATGACAATAAACCTTAATCTTGTTCAACAAAACAAAACTGAAAGAACTCTCCTTTATTCAAGAGACCATGCAAGTGAAAAAAATTGCAGTGATTGGTGCTGGCGTCAGCGGATTAGGTGCCATTAAGAGCTGCTTGGAGGAGGGACTAGAGCCTGTGTGTTTTGAAAAAAGCAATGACATTGGAGGACTGTGGAGATATGAGGTAATTTAATAAATAGTCTCATAAAGTCTGATTATCTGTGTACGGTGAAGAGATGTTTCCTTTCTGACTAAGAAATCAAACTCTGATGAAATGCAAACTACATATTCCTTAAGGATTCTTTTCAATGTAATTGTATCTTACCTTCATATAAACTTGAAAGTTTTTGAAGTGCTTACATAATCCTATTCTCTTTCATTTCCCTAACAACCCCACATGGAATTGTTGGGGTATCAGTATGCAAATTTTACAGATGAGAAAGCTGAGACTCATAAAGTTTGCATAGTTATTCTGCCTCTGCCAGACTTGGTAATAAGACCCATGATCTCCTGACTCTTGGATCTGACATTTCCCTCTCTACCATAGGATCACCCACTTCATGTTGCTTTGTGCTGCTTATTAGATGCTACAAAAACTACCCTTACCAAGAGAGGTGTGTGGGATCATAATTTACTCATGCATAGCTTAAAGCAATAAATAATATCCCAGATGAACAGACGGAACTAAATGTAGTCTTAAAAATAAAACATTTTGCCAGGGGATGGGGGACACACCTCATCAACAAGGGTAACTGCCTAATGACTATTTGTATACCTAACCCTGAATTGTACCCCACATCCTTGAAATTAAAAACTAAAAATAAATAATATATCTTACTGAAATACAACACAACACATCTTTCTTAATGCATACATATACTAGAGACAGGGTCTTGCTATGTTGTCTAACTGGTCTCCAACTCCTGGTCTCAAGCAATCCTCCTACCGCAGTCTCCCAAACCACTGAGATCACAGGTAAAAGCCACCACATCTGCCCTATTCCTTAATATTTTAATAAACATAAACTTTGCATGATTTTTTAAAATCTCAAATCATGTATTTTTTTCCATGGCCTTCTCTTAATCTAAATTCCCTTAGTTATGATGCCTATTTTATTATTTGGAAGTTTCTCTTCTCAACATTTTTTTGTTTGTTTTGATGTATTTTTAGTATCCATAATCTTCCTCCTATTTTGTTATAATTAGTGGTATTACCTTAAGTCTGTCACTAAAAACAGGATTCTAAACTACTAAGAAGTCTCTTCATAAGGAAGCGAACCAATGCCTCCATCCTGATGGGAAATACTGCAGAAAACTGACAGTCAAATATGTTTTTTCAAAGAAAAATAAACCCAACACTACATGTATGATCACACCTAACATACTCTTTGTTGTGTTACTGGATTCTGGAAGTTGTTGGTTTGTTTCCTACAGAAAACACCTGAAAGTGGAAAGCCTGGGATATACAAATCTCTGACTTGCAACACCTCTAAGGAGATGACAGCCTTCAGCGACTACCCTTTCCCTGATCATTATCCCAATTATTTGCACAACTCCAAAATGATGGAGTATCTCAGAATGTACACCAGGCACTTTGGCCTTATGAAACACATCCAGTTTCTGGTAAGAAACGAAAACCATATTCATTACCTACAGATTGATAAGGTAAAGTTGGTGCAAGCCAGAGCAAGCTGAGGCATATTTTCAAGTTGCATTTTCCATCACCATCCTGAAAAAATATTGTGTCTCCCATTAATCTCAAGATGCATGAAGTGTTGGGAAGGTCTTATTTTTCCCCCAAGAGGAAAAGCATTGCCTCATACTTTTAACCTGAAAGCTAGTTTTAAATTAATGTTATCAATATAGAGTATAAGTTATAAGAAAAAATGTATAACGTATATTGTTCTGCAAGGTACTTTGATCTCTGAGAAGTGATAGTTTTAGGAAGTTTGTGCGCACAGATCCAGAATCTATGAATACAAAAGGTACCACCTGCTTTGTTAAGATACAGAATTCTGGGGAAAAATATAAGTCTGAGAACAATGTTCTAAAACGAAGACTGTCTCTGTACCTTCACTTCCAGTCGAAGGTGTGTCACGTGAGGAAGCATCCTGATTTTTCATCCTCTGGCCAATGGAATGTTGTGGTAGAAACTGATGGAAAGCAGAAAACCTATGTCTTTGATGGGATTATGATTTGCACTGGCCATTACACTGAAAAGTATTTGCCCTTAAAGGATTTTCCAGGTATTTAACTGATGAGTGTACAAGAAAAATCTTTGCATTCTAAGAATCTAATGCCTGCAGGATTTTAGGCACTGAACGGAACTGTTACCAGGTAACTGGTACCATGGTAATACAAAAGAGGGTGTAGTGACTTTCAGGAATAGTCAGGAAAGATCTGATAACAGAAATATCATTTGAACTAGAAACTAAGAGTTCCTCTGGCAAACCAAGCTCTGGGAGCAGGCATTTCAGGAAGAAGATGAAGTATGTGAAAACCCACAGTGTATGAAATAGTCAGGGACGCTCAAAGAACAGCCCTCACGTAATGGGGCTGGAGCAAGTTGTATGTGCAGCTGAGGTATGCAGAGGTCAATGAAAGACAACTGAAGGATATGCACGTGTGCATACGTGTGTGCATGCGTGCGTGCGTGCGTGTGTGTGTGTGTTTGTGTTTGAGGAGCAGATGCCTGATCATATTTTTTATATCATAAAGATCATTCTTGCAGTGTGAAAGATTAATTGATAAGAAAGGAGGAGGCAAAGAAGGAAGATTAATAAGGAGGGTTTATTAATAACCTATTAAAGAGACAATGATGAAGGCTTTTAGTAAATGCTTCTATTAACGGTAGTAGAACTCAAAGAGGAGGATAGAAATTCAGAAGATATCTGAGAGATCATTGCAAGATTCAATAAATGGCATAATTTCCCAAAATATTTTAAAGTTGTATGTCATAATATATTTGAAAAATAATCACTTTTCTTTAAGATGCTTTGAAATTTTTGTTATTCTAGTTCTTCACTGTTCAACAAAGTAGCTTTTAGCAGATGTCACTACTGAGAACTTTGTTAAGATACAGAATTCTGGGGAAAATTTGAAGTCTAAGAACAATGTTCTGAAACTAAGACTATCTCTGTTCCTTCACTCCCAGTCGAAGGTGTGCCACGTGAGGAAGCACACGGCTAAAATTATGAATTGAGATGTGCTTTTAGTGTAAAAGAACTTGAAAATAAAGTAAAACTGTATAAAGCATCTCATTAATAACTTTGCATATTGAATACATATTGATAATATCTCAGTTTTTATTGGACTAAATACAATATATCTTTAAAGTTAATATTTTTTACTTTTTTGTATCACTACTAGAAAATTTTAAATTGCCTATGAGGTTTGCACTATTTTTTTAGGCAGCACTGTACTACATTGATAAATATCTTTACATATTTTTGAAATCCATTCAGAGTCACAGTCACAAAAACAGGAGGACAGTTCCTCAGATACCAGTAGAAAGTAAGAAAAAGACAATAACCTCCTAAAGTGACAAGAGTTATCATACTTAACAAATTTAAACCGGATTTTTAAAAGGAAATATTGATATGCATTGATTATGGCCTTAGCCGTATCATCACTGCCATTGGATATTTTGTTCATTGGATAATCTTGTATTGCAATATTGGCAGCAACTGAAAAATATACAACCAACAAAGACTGGGGTTTAAGTAATATAAACTTTAAGTTTACAAATAAATTTTGCAAAGCAGTCTTTCCTATGATTTGAGGGATTCTATCCTTTCCTCACAGGAATCAAGAAGTTCAGAGGCCTGTATCTCCACAGTTGGGCATACAAGCATCCAGACAATTTTGTAGGGAAGAGAGTTGTTGTGGTTGGCATTGGGAATTCTGGAGCAGATGTGGCTGGAGAGATCAGTCGTGTTGCAGAACAGGTTTGGCTTTATAAACTGATTCTCTTCTTTTGTGTATCAACATTACACGGTGATACTTGCAGAGCATGGACCATGGTAAGTATAGACTTTTGCTATTGCTTTAGCAGTGGTACCCCAAACTTGACTGGTAGCTCTCCCACCTAGCAGTGGCACTTTTTTCTTCTTACTACATATAAGTGAAAGAATGTACAACACCAAAATAATAATATCCTTCTTCCATCATAATGCACTGGTGTCATGAAGGAAAACAACCAAACTAGAGTCAGATAACTTAGGAATTATCTAGGGGTAGTTATGGTATTGAGATGGTAATTTTCAAACTGAAATTAATTTTACAGAAAACACCAAAATCATCTTACTGTCAATAAAGATTAAACAGAAAAAATTATATACAAACAAGAGTAAAAATGAACTGCTGATGCCTGAGTAAGTTGCTGGGAATGGGTCAGAAATTACACAGGTTCCCATTGACTGAAAACATGAAGAGTAGGAAAAGAGGAGCTGTTCTCCCTCTGTAGGGAGTTTTTGGCCCCTAAAGAGCATAGAGAGATCATGCTTCAAAATTCAAAATGAATTTCCAGTGCTGATTCAGAATTTCCAGAAAGAAGAGACACATTTTTCAGTACTTAAAGTCTGTAGGAGTGATGCTCAGTCAAATATTCTGAGTGTTGCCTTCTGAGTCAAATATTCTACTGTGCCTTACTCATGCCAGGCACTGTAAATAAGATACGATGACAAGTGAGTTGTGAACTCTGAGATTAAAGACCTCACAAGCTAGTGATTTTATTTTCATAAGAAGGTTATAACCTTTTTTAAACTTTATTTTTAAAATGTGGGGTACAATTCAGGGTTAGGCACGTACGTGGTCATCGTACACGTAAAGTGTGGGTACCCTTACTGATGTTATATGCCTCTCTCTCCCCTGACAGTGTCCCACTACTGCTAATCCCTTTCTTATAGAATTATGATAAACGTTCAGGGTCCACTTATGAGTGAGTACATGTGGTACTCAGATCTTTGTTTCTGTGATAACTCACTGAGTATGATAGACTCTAATTCCATCCAGGTTGACTTTTTGAAAATAACAGTTAAATGGCTCAAAATAGAGAATAAAAAATGTTTAACCACGGGCATAATATTAAACCATTTTAGTTCAGAGAAAAGATTCTGGTGAATATTAGAAAAAAGACACATTTCCTACTCTTGATATTTCCTTTTTTTGTTTGTTTGTTTTGGGGTTTTGTTGTTGTTTTTCATCTCTTTTATTATTTTGTTTCTAAAACGTCTTTTATTTTTCATGAGATCAATTCAAGTTGTTGCTTGTATCAACATGTCATTCCTTTTTTTTCTTCCTCTTTTAATTTTTATTTTGAAATTGTGGAGTACAACTCAAGGTTAGGTATACAAATGTTCATTGTGCAGGTACCCTTATTGATGAGGTGTGCCCTTGCCCTTCCCCAGGTGGAAAATTCATATGATTATTAAATCAACACACTTAAATACTTTTTAAAACTAATTTGATTGTGAGATCAGTGAGCTAGTAAGTCTGTTTAAAAGGAAAATTCAACAAATAAAATTAAAATAATTGGAAGATTGCTGAAACAAATTTTCTAATAGATAGTATACTGGTTAATGTTGTATAATGGCATAACATTGTAAACTTTAGATTGTCTTTTCTACTGAACAAAAATCTACAAGTTAATGTGCAACTTTATGGTACCTGGACTAAACAAATAGCAAATAGCACAGTAAAATGCATATGCATTGTCCTGTGTAAAAACTAAATTTTGGATGAACTTGTTAATAATGGTTTCGTAAAAACAGGAAGTCATTCTGCTTTTTTAAAAACATTTCAAAGCTTTAGTGGGTTCAGATGGTTTTTGGTCACATGGATACATTGTATGGTAGTAAAGAAGTCTGTGCTTTGAGTGTACTTTCCACCCTGACCAGTGCGCATTGTGCCCTGTGGGTAATTTTTCATACCCCTTCCCCTTCCCACCCTCTCTCTTCTGAGTCTCCAATGTCCATTCTACATGATTTTGTAGATCCCTGATTTAGCTCCCACTTATGGGTGGGAACATGTGGGGTTTGGTTTTCTGTCCCTGTGTTATTTCACTTAGGATGATGCTCTGCAATTCCACCCTGGTTGCTCCAAAAGACATTATTTTATTCTGTTACATAGTTACATGGTATTCCATGGTATATATGTGCCACATTTTCATTGTCCACTGACTGGCTGATGGGATTTAGGTTGATTCTGCATCTTTGCAATTGTGAATTGTCTCCTGCTTTATTTCTAAGATTTGGAAATTTTTTATTCAATTAATATGTGAAGTTCTCTTGGCCTCCCTCCTTTCTATAAAAAAAAAAGATTTAATGTGTTCTCTATTTTTTATGGACTTCATACTTTTCACATTGAATTTTCCTTTTGTAAATGTGAAAAAAACTTCCCAATGTGCTATTTAACATTGTATTTGTGTTGCTATCTCAGTCTTTGCAATCCAGATATTTTCCCATCCATCTGAACTGTGGAATGATAGAAATGAGAGGGAACATGAAAACTAACCTCCAACTCTCAACATCATAGCTTATTTTTTTTCACATTCTGAGATTTAACAGATTCCAGATATCTAGCACAGCTATAGTGAACATTAAAATGAAAACAGGTAATGAGAAACAATAAGTGAATTGAAAAGGACTTTAAATAACCGGACCTGAGAAATGTGTAGAATGAAAGAGGAGGAAGAGGATCAGGCGGGTGGGCAAAGTGATGCCAGAAGTTCTGTCCCCTTGACAATTCAGAAAAAATTACATCTGAGCTTCTGGGATAAAGGTTGATAAAAAATAAAATTGTCACTTGGCAACAATTTCTCTCTTACAGGTCTTTCTCAGCACAAGACGGGGCGCATGGATATGGAACCGGGTTTGGGATAATGGGAATCCTTTGGATACCACACTTTTCACCCGTTATAATAGAATACTTGAAAAAATTTTTCCCACATTCATGATCAACAGATGGGTAGAAAATAAACTAAATGCAAGGTTCAATCATGCCAATTATGGGCTATGGCCTCAACACAGGTAAGGCCTGGGATTTAAAACGAGCAAGCAATATTTTTAAGTTACTGACTAAGCAGAATCTATAAACTATCTTTAGATTTAGAATTATGTTACAGATAGGTTATTCTAACACTTGGTATAATTTATTTTGATTGGAAATATCCAAGTTATTTCCTTTCTACTAATTGTTCATGTTCATCCTACTAAGATTTAAAAAAAGGTGAAGGGGTGAGGAGTAGAGGAATAGAGACAAACTTGAATACTTGTTTTATTTGAGACTCATTCCATCTAACTATGCCACCCACTAGTTCTTCTTATTCACTATCATCTGGCAACTGCTTCCTCTTCACTCCCTACATTAAAGACTATGATTCCATTGTCACCCTAAAACTTGCCATCAGCCAGGACAATTTCAATGTCTGTATGTAGATTGACCAATATTCATGCAATGCAACCCCTTGACATTCTCAACTGCACTGGCCTCTTGTTGTACTCTGCTTGCACCATTCACAGTCATGGTCATCCTGGAACTTACCAGTTGGAACTACAGAACACATGGCTATCATTCCAGGACCTCTTCTGTGACTGCAACCTCTTACCTTTACTCTCTCACTCCACTACACCCTAGTCACTCCTCTCATCCTATATCTTCCTCCTCTTGTTCTTCTACCTCTGTGATCACCTTTCCATTTTATTTCTTTTTTTCCCCACCTGTCATTTAAAACTTGGTGCTACTCACATATCTATTCTTGGTCCTCTTCTCTGTATTTAAAATACTTACAGCTTCCTGTATTGAAATATAAATCTAAGCAAAACAACTTGTTAATGGAGGATCAGTGAAAACAGAAAATTAGTTTAAAGAAGTATCTGGAGGAAAAAACATAATTACTGATGCAGAAGGTGTGACTCCAGTTTCTTTTCCAGGGAAAATCTATTCAGAAGGTGGAAGAAATGTGTATTAACAGTAAAGTAGACCTGAGAATATGGTTTCCTGCTACTAGTTTGTAGCTCAAACCCTAACTTAAACTTATCAAGTTCTATGTGTCACTGAATCCCAATTTTCCTAATGAAGGTTCACTCTTAAAATCATGCAATTGTCCCCTGTAGGCCCTTGAAAAACATTGATGACTTACTGGTATTAATATTTACATTGTATCAAGTGCAACTAGATAAAAATCAACATTTTATTCCTGGTAAAAATGTTATTAGCCAGAAATATATTTAGTGTGTATTATAACTTGATTAGTTCAATCTGATCTGCTTTCTGTATCATTATTACGGCTTTAAAGATTAGGAAACTGAGGTTGAAATGTTACATGACTTGTCCATGGGCTCAGTCTCATAGGTAGTAAGTGCGAGGACCAGTACTAGTCCAGTTCTGACTCTGAAAATCAAGTTTTTAACCAATAAGTGATATTGCTTTTCTAGGAACCCCAACAAGGAATATAAAATTTATTGAAATACTGTGGTGATTTTCTGAGCATTTACCTACCACAACTTCTTTATGAAGAAAATTTATACTCACTTTTTTACATTACACTCTTTATCATGTAGATTTCTCAGCCATCAGGCTACTATGAGTGATGATCTGCCCAACCATATAATTTCTGGAAGAATTCTAGTGAAGCCAAATGTGAAAGAGTTCACCAAGACATCAGCCATCTTTGAAGATGGCACTGAAGAGAACATTGATGCTGTTATCTTTGCTACAGGCTACACATTCTCTTTCCCTTTCTTGGAGGATAACTCAGAAATTTTGGACAGCCAACATTCCATGTTTAAATTTATGTTCCCCCCTCAGCTGGAGAAACCAACACTAGCCTTCATTGGCATTCTTCAGCCAGTGGGAGCCACCATTCCCACTTCAGAACTCCAGAGCCGATGGGCTGTACAAGTATTCAAAGGTAAGTGCTGGTCTTTCACATGAGCAAAATAGCTTCCTAAATATGCACTGAGGTTTTAAGGGAATTCAGATCTTCTGTTCAACATACCTTCTCCCTTGTTCTATCAAAGTGTCTGAAATTTCACCATTATAAATCAATTACTTTTGAACTCTTTCCTGAGCCCAGGAGGTTGAGGATGTGGTAAGCCATGATCATGCCGCTGTACTCCAGCCTGGGTAACAAAATAAGACCCCAATTCAAAACAACAGCATGAAATTAGAATCAAGTTACACTTGGGTATTTGGTATTCATTCATTTGGTTCTTTTCAGCAGTCAGCTAATTTAGGGTAAGACTTCATGGAAACAGAAAATGGGGAAGATAGGGAAACAAACAAGGAGGAGCATACTTACAAACATTTCAGAAAGGTTGTGAAGCTATTTCACTTTGCTGGCCAATCAAATATTTGACTCATATTATTGACTCATTTCCAAAGATCTTACTCAAATTGATGATTCTGAGTTAAAAAAAAATTGGTACCAGAAAGAAATGAAGATCAAGTTTGGCAGAACTGCATTGTAGTTTCTGAGCATCAGAGTAAACTGAATTACATGGAGAATTTTCCCTCAGACTGAAAAACAACTTGTATTAAGTTATCCATGCTCTAATTAATAAGAAGTCAGAATTCTATCTAATTAGGAAATATTTCCTAATGGGTCAGAATGTGATACAAAGTAGTAGATACTTTGAATCTTCTATGTTGTGAGACATAAAATCATCAATTACACAAGTCAAGAATTTATAAGATGTACTGCTGTTCACTAAATAAGACTCAAGTACATATCCAGGTGGCTTATGCTGTTTCTATGTCCTATTTTTTTTTTTGAGTTGGAGTCTCACTCCATGGCCCAGCATCAACCTACTGGGCTCCGGCGATCCTTCTGCCTCAGCCGTCCAAGTAGCCAGAACTACAGGCAAGCACTACCATGCCTGGCTAGTTTTTGATTCAGTGTAGAGACGAGATCTCACCAAGGTGCCCAGGCTGGTCTCAAACTTGGGGACTCAGGCAATCCACTTGCCTTGGCTTCCCAAAGTGCTGGGATTACAGGCTGAGCCACCGAGCCTGGCCTATGTCCTACATCTTTTATTTCCTGAAGCCTTGTGGTTAGTTCTTCAGTGAAGTCAATTCTAGTAATAGCTCATTTTATTCTCACTCAAAAATCCTATAGTTAGTACTACTTTAGGTAGGTATATTGGTTTCCTTGTATATATCTTACTTCTCTTTCCCCTAACAAGTAAATATTTTCTTTGCTGACTTCCACCACAAATCAATGCCCAGAAATATGATCACCAATTAGTAACACCAATGGGATTCTGAAAGGTGACAAATGGATGTCACAATGGTAGTCATATAAGAGAACAGTTATGCAGTCATGTATCATGTTTATTGTATTTAGAGTTTTCTACTTGTGCCTAATTACCTTTCTCTAAAATGAAAAATGTTCTAAAGATGTATTTTAGTGCAATATATGCATAGAAAAGTGTGCATAGCATAAATGTACAGCTTACTGAATTTTCACAAATTGAACTCACACTCACCCATTCAAGCATCATTTAGATTTTTTAAAAAATAACAACAACAAGGCAGAGCATGAGCAGCACTCAGAAGCTCCCTGCAGTCTTTTCCAGTCTCATTGTCCCCAGAACCATGAAGGGTAACTACTATCCTGATGTCTAATAGTAACAGTTAGTTTTCATTTTTTCACAATATGTGTTGTATTGTATTTGACTTCTTTCACTCAACATAATATTTATGAGATTCATTTATAATTTGTACTTATTCATTTTACCATTATATAGTATCTATATACTTATCCATTCTATATATGGATATATGCATATACATCCACAACTTAACCATTCTATGTTGATGAGCATTTAAAGCTATTATAAACAGTGGTTCTGTGAACAATCTAACACCTGTCTTGTTGAACATACATGCACATTTCTGTTGGGTATATACCTAGTAGTATAATTGCTACTTCACAAGATATGCATATGTGTAAAATAACACTATAATATACTAGATGATCTTCCTATTCCACAAGTCTCTTCCTTTCATGTTTTGCACACTCATCCTCTAAATTATGCTTTGTAAGATATTTTACAGTATTCATGAGTAGATCATACTTTTGAACCAACAGGGATGTGGCACCTGATGAAGCAATGGGGGAATAATCTAGAAACCAATAGTCCTGTTTCTCTTTGTTCTGCCCCCCTAATTTTATTGCATTTTTCCCACTCTGACCTTTGTTTTGTCATGCCCTCTCTCTCTCCAAAACACACACGTGCACATACACCACCTCTTTTTTATTACTTACTTTTCTTCTGGCCAGATACACTTACTGCAGTCTTGGGATGTTTTCCATCACTACATACTTCATGAATATATAGTGAGAACTGAGATTTTTTTCAATTGCTCTACAGACTGAGAAATATTGTTTTTGAGATGTAAGCTCGATGCAAGGGCTTGTTCAGATAATAAAAGGGACTTTTGAGACAGGTCACAGTACAGTGTGAGGATCCCTGAAAGATTAAAAATAATACCAAAGGAGATATCTAATATTCAAGAATTTTGATGATAGATTTAAACTGAGAAACAACTCCAAATCTACTTTTCCTAAAGAAGATTAATTTTTCTTCCTGACAACCTGAGAATGATAAAAAGGAAAATATTATCATTGGGATTTTTTTATAAAGGACTTTAGTTATGATTTTCATAAAGACTTCATTATTATAACCATTTTCTTTCAAAACAATTACTTTTATTTACTTGTATTCCTCAGCCTTCTTGACAGTCATAATATTTCTTTCTCTTTTTAATAGGACTGAAAAAATTACCCTCAGCAAGTGACATGATAGCTGACATCAACAGAAGGAGAAAGAAAATGGAAAAAGAGTAAGAAACTTAATTGTTAATTAAAGTAAATGAAATCTGTTTACATGAAGATATTTGATTGTTTTCATTATGTAGTATTATATGTAAATGAGATAGCCTAAGACAGCTTTGGTTCAATGATATCATGATGGAAAATGGGCACGGGGTATGTTGTAAAATGTGCCTGGTTATGGAACACAAGGCCCATCACTTGTTGAACCAGCCACAGAATGTTAAATCTACTCAATGAATAGTCTCCAAGACTGGGCAACATCAAGAATCAGGAGAAGAGGTCCTTTATTCATTGTAAGAACTGAAATCCCAAAAACTACCTCAGAAATTAGCTAAATTTTAGAATTTAAAGAAAAGAAAAATACTTTTCAAATATATAATCAAATAAAGGGTAATTTTAAAAGATGCACAGTTATTCAATTTGTTAAACACCTATTCTCTGCACTTTGCAATAAACTTACATTCTAAGAACATCCTTAGGAGAACTTTGAGAGAAATGGTAAAATAACCTTATTATAATTTCATTATTAGACCCATCACATAAACTGTAGGACTAAATAAGATATGTAAATGTCATTTATGTTTCCTATGATCCATGTCACTACTTAAGTTTATACTTAGTAGTTTATATTCTGTTGCTAAAATAAATGAGTTTTCTCTTCTAACTGTTATTTCTGGTTTTTAGGAAAGTTATTGATTTGTGTGCATTTGTTTTGCAATTAGATTTTATTTTACTTTTTTATTGATTATAATAGATATGTATTTGATTATCTGAGGTTTGCTGGGTAAACAATGAAAATAACTAATTTTGACTCTTCTTTTTCTATATTTATATCTTTTTTTGTTATTCCTACTTTGGCTGTAACTTTTTTTTTTTTGAGTTGGAGTCTCTCTGTGGCCCAGACTGGAGTGCAGTGGCCGCTCCCGGTCACTGCAGCCTCGACCTGCTGGGCTCTGGCGATCCTTCCGCCTCAGCCTTCCGAGCAGCCGGAACCACAGGTATACGCTACCACGCCCAGCTGATTTTTTTATTTATTGTAGAGATGAGGTCTCGCTGCCCAGGCGGGTCTTGAACCCGCGGGCTCAGGCAATTCACTCACCTCAGCCTCCCAAAGGCGTGGGATTACAGGCTGAGCCACTGAGCCCGGCTTGGCTGTAACTTAAAGGATGATCTTAGCTTATAAAAAATACAGTATTCTTGCTGTATTTCTGATTTTGTAGAGACTGCCTTTAGTGTTTCACCATTAAGTATGATTTTGTCTGCTGGAGGTTGAGAAAATATCCTTCTATTCCTAGGAGGGGAGACTTCAAAAAAATGGAATTAATTTATTTTAAAATGTGTATTTATTCTTACATGTTTAAACTTCAGTCACCTTCAGAGTACTCTCTGCTTAATACAATACACCCATTGAGATGCTTTTTCCACTGCTCAAAACAGTTTTTGAACTTGTCAATTTTGATGCCTTTTAGTGCTTCTGTCATTTTTTTGTTTCGCCTCTCCCACGTTGGCAAAACATTTCCCTTTGAAGATTTTTTCATCTGGGAAAAAAAAAGGTAGCTCAGGGCGACATCTGGCGAATAGGGAGGGTGGGACAGAGGTCATGCTGGTTTGGGTCTAAAACACTGAACACTCAGTGTGATGAGGGCAGGTGCACTTGTAAATCACCCATCATGAAATGGGAAAACACTTTAAAAGAATCTCAAAAAAAAAAAAAAATCACCAAAGCTGAACAGAGCCTCTCACAAAATGCTAGCTGGTACACTGATAGTGATGGGTTACTTACCTAGTGGGGGAAGCCTGTATTACAAAGAACCTGCCCTTCAAAAAAAAAAATGCTTTTTTTTTTTAAGGTCCCTCCAGTATCTTATGAAAAGAAATGTATGTTGAATTTCATCAAATGCCTTTCTACCATATTCTAAAATGATATGAATTTTCACCATTGACTTGATGCCATGAACCATAGCAATATATTTCCTAATACCAACATTTCTTAATTTCCAGGAATAACAACTACTTGTTCATTGTATATTATTATTTTAAAATACTGGCAAATTCTATTTGATAAAATTTCATTTATAATTTTTTCAGCTATATTCTAAATGGGATTGGTCTGTGATTTTTCTTTTTCTATTCACCTTTATTTATATTTTTGTTATATTATGTTATCGAGCTTATACTTACCTTATAAAATGAATGGAAAAAAAAACCTGTAGTGCTTTTGCAAAGCCAGAAACAATTTAAATAGACTTAAATGAGATGGGGATTTTATGATACTCAAAATTTTGAAATTAAAAAATTGATATAAATATTAGAATCTAGTACTTATTTTAGAAATAATTCTCAGACCACATGTCCCATTGTCTTTTTCATTACTAATTTAGTTGCATCGTTCTTTTTTTTATTTTAAAGAAATAAAGTACAGTTCAGGATTAGGTACACAAGTGGCCATCATACAGGTAAAGTTTGGGCCTTCCCTTAGACCCACTTCACCTGGTTTGAGATTAGGTACCCTAATTGGTGTTCTGTGCCTTCTCCCACCTCCCCTGGCAGTTTCTGGCTACCACCAATACCTTTCTTATAGTATTATGGTAAATGTTCAGAGTCCATTTGTGAGTGAGAACAAAGAACTCAGTTCTTTTTTTCTGTGATAGATCACTGAGCATGATCGACTCTAAATCCATCCAAGTTGCTGCGAAGACCATATGTTTTTCCCTCATGACTGTGCAATATTCCATCCTGTATATGTACCACATTTTTTTTATCCGTTCAGTTTCAATGGGCAGCAGAGTTGGTTCCATGTTTTTGCTATTGTGAATAGTGCTTCAATAAACATGCATGAGCAGATATCTTTTTTGTAGAGTGATCTAAGTTCCTCTGGGTATATTTACAGAAGGTGGATTGCTGGGTCATATGGGAGGTCAATTTCCAGTTCTTTTGGGAATCGCCACCCTCTTTTCCATAGAGGAGCTATTTTGTACCTCCACCAACAATGTAGAAACATTCCCTTTTCTCCGCATCCATGCCAGCATCTGTTGTTTTTTGTTTTATTAATGATAGCTCTTCTTACTGGAGTCAGGTAGTATCTCAATGTGGTTTTGATTTGCATTTATTTGATGATTAGCGAGGTTGGGCATTTTTCCACATGTCAGTTAGCTGCCTGTATGTCTTCTTTTGAGAAGTGTTTGTTCATGTCTTTTACCCACATTTTAAAGAGGCTGTTTTTTGGCACATTTGAGGTCTTTGTAGATTCTAGATGTTAGGCCTTTGTCAGATAAGCAGCTGGCAAATATTTTTCCCATTCTGTAGGCTGTCACCCCACTCTCTTGATGGTTTATTTTGCTTTGCAGAAACTTTTCAGTTTGATGAGATCCCACTTGTCTAACTTATCTCCTATGGCATGGGCTTTTGGGGTATTGATCAGGAATTGGTTACCTATTCTGATTTCCATAAGGGTATCTCCTGCATTTTCTAAGATTATTAAAGTTAGAGGTTCTACATTTAGGTCTTGATCCATTTGGAGTTGATTTTTGTGTATGGTTTCATTCTTCTGCATGTGGTCAGACAGTTTTCCAAGCACCATTTACTGAATAGGTTCTCCTCTCCCCAGTGGTTGTTGATGGAGGGTTTGTCAAAGATGAGTTGGTTGAGAAATTGAGGTTTTCTTGTTCCATTGGTCCTTATGCCTGTTCTTGTACCAATACCAGACTGCTTTGATTATTATAGCCTTATAATAGTGGTTAAAGTATGAAAGTGTGATACTTACTGCTTTGTTTCTTTTGCTAAAGATTGTTTTGGCTATTTGTGATCATTTGTGTTTCCATATCAATTTCTGTATTGTTGTTTCCAGGTGTGAGAAGAATGAGGTTGGTAGTTTAATGGGTATAGCATTGAATTTGTAGATTGCCTTGGTAGGATGGACATCTTAACAATGTTGATTATTCTTATCCATGAGCATGAGCATGGAATATTTCTCCATTTGTTTGTGTCATCTTTGATTTCTTTGAGCAGTGTTTTTTAGTTTTCATTTTAAAGATCTTTCACTTTCTGATTAGGAAGATGCTGAGATATTTCCATTTTTTGTGGCTATTGTAAGTGGGATTGTGTTTTATATTTGGTTCTCTTCCTGTTTGTTGTTGCTGTATAAGAATGCAACTGTCTTTTGCATGTTTACTTTATAACCTGAGACTTTGCCAAAGACCTTTTTCAGTGCAAAGACATTTTTGATAGATTCTTTGGGATTTTGGGTGTAAGACCATATCGTCAACAAAGAGGGATAATCTGACTTCCTCTCTTCCTATTTGGATATCCCTAATTTCCTTCTCTTGTCTGATTGCTCTAGCTAGGACCTCTAACATTATGTTGAACAGGAGGGATGAGAGTGGGTAGCCTTTTTTTGTTCCGATTTTCAGGGGAAATACTTGCAATTTCTATCCATTTAACAATATGCTGGCTGTGGGTTTATCGTAGATGGCTCTTACTATTTTGAGGTATGTTCCTTCTATGCCTAGATGTTCAAGGGTTTTTACCAAGAAGGGATGCTGAATTTGATAAAAATCTTTTCTCACATCTAGTGCTATAATCATGTGGTTCTTCTTTTTACATCCGTTGGTGTATTTAATTACATTTAAGGTCTTGTGGATGTTGAACCAGCCCTGCATCCTGGGGATGAAGCCTACTTATTCATGGTGGATGATTTTTAAGATGTGTTGTTGGATCCAGCTTGCTAGAATCTTGTTGAGAATTTTTGCACTTATGTTTCATTCAGGATACTGGCCTATAATTCTCTTTCTTTGTTGGCTCTTTACCCAGTTTGGGTATCAGTATGATGTTAGTGCTCAGAATTGGGTGAGATGAAGCCTAGTTGCATTATTCTATTATTGAGTCAGAGGTAAAAGTATATTATATTAGAAAATGATCATTTCTATCTAATTTTGCAAATTTTAAGCATATACATAGTTATACATAATATTTTGTATTATCTTAATCTGTATTATATCTCTGTATAAAATCCCTTTCTTACGTATTTTTATATGTGTGGTATTTATGTTCTCTCTTTTTCAATTAGACCCTCAAAAGATGTGTCTCATTTATTTATTTTTATTTTTTAAACAACCACCTAAAAAACTCATTTGTCACTTCCTCCTTTTCATTCATTTAGGCCTTCGCCTTCATTAATGCCTGATTGCTGCTTTGCTTAGTCTCATTTACCTTTCATTCTATTTTTCCCGAATAATCCTAATTTAGATCTGTCCAACATTTTGAAAAGTTTTGATATTTTTTAAATAATCCATAATTTCAGTTTTGTTTCCTTTTTTACCCAAGAGTGATTTGGCAGAGTGGTTTTCAATTTCCAAGTATGTGGAACAAGTCAAATAAAAGTAAGCAAACCTAATTTATGACTGTCTAGGTGTAGTAAGGCAGGCTACAAAAGGCAGAACTTATACCTCAAATCAATATGTTAAAAAGATATTTCACATAGCTCGGAAGCATGAAGTGAGCAATAGAACTTAACATTCTATATAATTTACTTATCTATTTCTTACTAAATTAAAGTTTATGTGATGGAACTGGATTCAGTTTGTGGAAGGGGGAGCAATATCTAAGACTTCATCCATTCCGTTCATACGTTTTCTATACGTATGTTACTCGACTAGGTGCTTTGGGAACTTTAAGGATCTCATATATTCATATCTTATGCTTAGAGACTGTATTCTAAGGAAGTTGAAGCATGTGTATTAAATTAAGATGATGTAATAAGTAGAAAATAAGGAAGTCAATAAACAAAGCTTAAATAAAGTCCAATGGGAACTTAGGGGAGAAGAGTGACGAGTCTAGCATGGGGCTTCTAACATTTTTTTCTTCTTCCAGGTTTGTAAAAAGCTCAAGAGATACACATCGAGTGCGGTATATTGACTACATGGATGAAATTGCATCTGAATTAGGAGCCAAACCCAATGTGTTCTCTCTCTTCCTTTGGGACACAAAGCTGGCCAGAGAGGTTTTCTATGGGCCCTGTACCCCATATCAGTACCGTCTACAGGGACCAGGGAAATGGACTGGGGCACAGAAAGCCATTCTTACTCAAAGAGATAGAATCCTCAAACCCCTGAGAACACGTATGGTCAAACACACTGGACCTTCTTCCTTTAGTCTGTTTGGGGTCAAAGTTACCTGTGCTATCTTTTGTCTCTTTGTTTTCATGTTAGTCATCATGCAAGTGATAGGTCATTAAGCTCACACGGACACAGATGTTTAAGGAACTAGAGAAGAACAGCTCATTTTAATTTAAATTGTATCACAATTAAGACACTTAATTTTATGGGAGAAGACATGTATTCAACTAACTAGTTCACGTATTGAGATTTAAATGAAAACAAATTTACTCTGATAATAACTTTTCAAGTGTTTCATATGAAGAGAGGTTTGAAAATGTATATCTTATCACCATTTTATTTTAGAAGTAATTTGAAGTGTGTATAGGTTTACACAAAATATGACAGTGAAGAGTAATTAAAAGTGGAGTTCAATAAAAAACCACAGTGGAGGTTAAATTAAACAAGAATAAAGTTCGAAAGTGTGTTGTATGATCTCAAAGTATCACCTCACAAACAAAATATTTATTGCAACAGGAAAATGTGTCTTTTCAATGAAAAAAATCTTTCAATCATAACCTTAACTAAATGATCAAACATCACTATGAATAGAAAGTCAACGAAATTTTGCAACTGTGACGCAATAAGAAGTCCAACATCACCTATCTAATATTGTTGCCAAAGATGTGTAACTCGAATGTAACCAGAAGGAGTAATCAGAAAAATTAAGAAACTGCAACATTTTCAAGACAGCTTGCTTGCATGCTAAAAGAAATTCAGTGATATAAAGCACCAAACTAAAAATGGCCAGGAAAACTTTTTCTATATTAATGGAGACTGAAAAGGCATAGTGACCAAATGCAATATTTGAACATTGTTTGATGATTTTGGTACAAGTGGGGAATTTAAATATGCACTGTATATTAGATGATCTTTTTGAATTAATGTTAATACTATCTGGTGTAATAAAGGTATAATGATTATGCAGCAAAATGTTCTTAGTTTTAGAAGATGCATGCAGAAATAGAAATAGTAAAGTATCATGATATCAACAGCTTATTTGTAAAAGATACATGAAAAATGTGTGTGTGTGTGAGAGAGAGAGAGAGAGAGACAGAAAGAGAGAGAGAAAATGAAAGAAACAAAATATTAACAACTGATGATTCTAGGGAATGGAATACAAGTGTTCATTGTACTATTCCTTCAGTTTTTTGTACATTTGAAAATTTCAAAATAAAAATTTTGGGGAAATACATTCTCTATAATGATCTGTGCATGTGCCACATATTTGAGTCTAACATTTTTTTTTTTCATTAATCAGTAGTTTTTATTATGGTTTTGTGGGGTACAGTTAAGGGTAGGTGTACAATGACGTTTCATTCAGGCACCCTGTAGATAAGAAGTGTTTTCCCATCCCCCGACAGATATTTGCTACTGGTAATTCCATCCCCCTCCCCCCCAATAGTTTGCCCAGTACCATCCGTCATTTTCTCATA